CCCCCCCTCCTCGTGCTTACGGCTAGATACCATCGGATTACTACGGGAGGTGGATATTATATAATCCATTCCCAGCGTGGCACGACTCCTTTATTCGGACAACCAACCAAGGGCGATGATGATGCCTACACCAAACAAAGCGCACATGTGTGCCCTGCAAAGGAAAAAGGCAGTTTGTTTGTGGTGCATCTTTCGGAGAAAATTTATTGTGGCTGGTGCGATATTCTGACAAATAAATATTTTAAACACATAAGAAAAAGTCTCAACTATGTAAACGTCTTTGTTTGGAAGCACGAGGGGATCTTTTTTCTGTCGCCCCGGGATAGCACAAGATCGTCCGTGCAGATCGTTCCTCACAAGCAAAACCCTTTCGACAGGAGTGGCAAGAACGAAAAGGAAGGTGATCGAGAGGCCAGAGGTACATACAGGAGGAGAAGCGATTTGAGTGAGAGAGAGTGATGCGCTGCCTGCTGCGTATGGTCTAGACATGCGCTGCTGATGCTGCTGGAGGAAGCGGGGGCCATGTAGATACGGGCCCGTTGAGAAAGGTATACAGTAGAGGTCCCTGTTTAGTGCCGGGGTGTGCGCAAAAAAAGTTTCACCGGCACTATACCGGGCACCGGCACTATTCTTCAGAGTGCCTGAATAGTGCCAAAGGGGCACTATTCAGGGTCTGAAAATCCCTCAATAGTACCAGACCGGCACTGTCGACGAGCTGTGTGATTTCAGAGTGCAGCGCTTTGCTTCGCGGGGCAAACAGAGTACCACATGAAACGTACATGGTGAGATCATAGCATGGGCGTCGCTGGCAGGCAGACTGCTTTGCAACGATAGGGAGGGGTCGTTCCTGCCCTCCCTGTCGAACACACATAAATTGCTTAGAATAATAAGTTAACTGGACGGGACACACATGCTGCACCTTGTTGCTGTACCCACACCTCAGCACACGTACTGCACACTCGCACAACCTGACTTAGGCTCATAATTAACGCAACGGAAAAAAATACATTTCCTTCCCTGAGTACACGCGTTGCTCGGCACACAATAGATAGGTTGACTTGGTGTTGCTCACCATAGAGCAGCGATAAAAGCGCAATAAGCAGCATTCGACATAGAGGACAACACACTTAAAAAAGATCCTATTTACCCGGCCTGCTGTTTTCAATTTTCAGCAACAACAAACAACAACAGGCGCAGGGCAGAGTGTCGCAACCTGGCTGGCCGGGTGTTTGTTGTTGCTTGCGATTTCTTCAGTTTGCCAGCTCATTTTTCACGGTTGCGACTCCCATCTTTGACCACCACCTGCCCAAAGGTAGACAAGCTCATCAATCATAGATAGGGCGGCAGCCGCGCTGACGGCGACCATCATATAGATGGCCAATCCGAAAGAACTAGCATGTCGGAGGCCCTGTTGCTCTTCTTCTGCTGCGCGCTGCCGTGGATTGATGTTGACGTGTCTGACCAAAAAAAACAGATCATCATCCATCTCGCCGCATTTTTTCCAACGAACGGCATTTTTTTGGTGAGGTAGCACACGTCTCTCACAAACCTTACGAGCAGCACCCAAGCACCCCAATACCCACGAAGCAGCACGTCGCCGGGAGATGGTATCATATAGATAGATAGATAGACAGCCGAACCGAAGGAATCAGCGCGTTGGAGGTCTTGGTGCTGCTGCTGTAGTAGTAGTACTCGTTCTAGTCTTCTTCTACTACTTACTGTTTCCGTGTTTTTTGCCATGTATGTATGTGTGATTGAAACAAACTCCCAGCACCAACAGCAGCAGCAGTTGAAGACGAGAGCACCACGCAATGTATAGTATTGGACCAAGAACGGACTGAATGCCGCTTCTGCCGCTTGTCCATCTCCATAACAGACCTGGACGTGAGTCTGGCAGGTCTGTCTAGCGTTCTCAGTGATGTTACAGCGCCCGCGGTGCGCTTGTCCGATGCTTCTGTCAAAAACACGGATCCGTGAAAAAACTGGCAAGCCCCAAAAATCCCGGCTCCTTCTTTTTCACGTTTTCGGGGGAAAACGCCTACATATTATAGACTATATTTCAAGAAAAAAACGCGTTTCCTTGAAATGTTCCGTGGTTTTTTGTCGTTATTAATACCCCTTAAGCCCTTGACATGAATATCGCAAAGGATAATAACCTTATAGATAGATGTCCAGTATTTTATTGGCAAGAATGCCGTGGCACTGGCCTTAAACGGATCAAAACATTTCGCGCAACCACAACATCACTCCTCGACAGCGAAGGTAAACCACTGTTCATGAAGCCCATGGATTTTTGGCGGTAACACTTTTGCGAAGCTCCTGCTGGCACAACCTATTGGTGAAGGAGGAAGCGAATTCTGTCTCCTCCTCACCCTCCTTCGATGTATGTATAGCCAGAACAAGAAAACAAAAAACACGACCGCAAGAAACAGCATACATACTGGTAGAGCTTGCTGTGTAGCTTGAATTGAAGGGCCAGCCCGTGGCTACAAGCAGATACAATCATTAGAACGTGGGCAATCACTACGAATTCGAAGTGGTGGTCCTTTATCGGGGCATTTGTGTTTTTTTACCGGTATTTTTCCCTGACAAATGAAGAATACTATTCTACGTACGCTGGCACCATGTCATCACCACATGCATTTTTTTTGTATTTTGTTGATTCATCGTTTAGGTCGTGTTATAAGCTAACGTTCGATACCTCTCTGTCGCCGCAAATCGTCAAGACACCCGAGAACGACCTGTCAGAGCGGGGGCTCCGTTAAGTGGTCCTTAATCGGCACATTTATTACTCTTATGTTGTCAAGAACGGGACAACATGCAAGAAATCAAACAGCCGCTGTAGCTGTAACCCCCGCCCTCATTACGTCGCGATAAATTCCCGCATGTATGTCTGCCTGGCGAGCCCGCTTTGCGGTATGCACGGTCTGCAGCAGCACGTGTACCCTCTCCTCTGTGTCTGTCTTCTGTGTTGTGTGTGTCGTTTTATTATTAGCATCGACCGCGCTAGCTAACCGGCTGACCAACCACTCAAAAGACGTCAGTGCCAGCGGGTAAAAAACAAGGTCCCTGTGGAAGGAGGTCGAAATTCGAAAAATGCGCAATGCGCTTGATGCGAATGCCAATACGACTCTCTCTACATGTTCTTTCACGTAGACACACATCTCAGCTACACAAATGCCCTCGCTCGAATCTAGGAAGCCAGTGATGCAAAAAAGAGCGTAGGACAGCAAAGAAAGGGTTATTTCAAGCCCAGCCGAAGCCAGGATATCGTGGTATTATGCTAATCTCCCAATTTGATAATCGTACACTCCCAACCAAGATCCAACAGTCATCGTGTCAGCAGCTAGATGACTCAAACAAAATAGCAACACATACACTGCCATAGCTCCACACATGCCCTCGCCCGAACCTAGGAAGCCACTGATGCAAAGAGCGGAGGACAGCAAAATGGTTATTTCAAGCCCAGCCGAAGCCAGGATATCGTGGTATTATGCTAATCTCCCAATTTGATAATCGTACACTCCCAACCAAGATCCAACAGTCATCGTGTCAGCAGCTAGATGATTCAAACAAAACA